TTACGATTAGGCGTGCATCCCTTTCTTAGACTACTTATTACTATCAAGTTGAGCGATACACTGGCCATAATAGTGATCGCTCTCTCTCACAGCGATCCAGAAGCAAGTCAACAACTGAAAGGGATGCAAGCCTAGCTAAATTACTAATCCTCAAAGTATGCTGGTGCAGGTTAGGGACAACAATGCTCAAATAGATTGAAGACTAAGAAGATAAAAAAGAAAACTATGAGCGGCTAGGAAGAGAAAAAGGATTGGACCATTGTTGCAAAGGCACCTTGTGATGTAGCGATGAGATGAAATCCACATCATTAGCAAAGTGGCTAATTCGACTTCCGCACTGTTTCCTTTTTAGACAACCAAGATCAACGGAACAAAAATCTTTCTAATCATCAAAACGAAAATCAAAACAGTGAAGAAAATACCAGATTTCCAAATGAACAAACGATGCAAACATATGGACAAAATTTCTGAACGAACAAACAATGAAAATATATTGACCAAATTAATAGATGATGACATTGTATCAAGTCAACCATGACAAAAAGATAGAATTGTCAATGCACAAGCACGACAGTGTGAAGCTTCAAACTGCATTTGCCATAATGACGAAAAAAAAAAGGACTCAAACTTGCTCACAAAGGCTAAATTTTGATCAATTACCTCGTTGTATTAGAAATAGTAGAATCCTAGACCCAAAATCAAAGCAGAAGAATCAAAACAAGTCGATTGTGTCAGTTTGGTGTCAAAAGGAGGCAGCCCACTCTTAAGTCTTATCCTCATACCCCCGTATATATATATCCTAAACTACGTCGCAAGTTCCAACTTTCCCTTATGCAACTTCAGTAGCTCGGAAGCTTCTTCCTTGTAACGAACAACAAACTTCTCTAGGAAATGCTTTTTCCAACTAATATCCTTGGTCTTAATTATACCCTTCGACAACAAAACTTGATAAATGGCAAACCTCGGAACGATCCTCTTTTCCAAACTCAGTGAAAAGAGTATTGGCCGTCTTGCAACCAACGAAGATTCTGTAAGGGGCCAAATTTTCCTCAATTCATAAGGTCTTAAAGGGCCGAAACGATTTCAAACAAATATTAAATCCTACAAGTAGTGCCGAACATTTGTCTTAAGTACGCTCGGCAACTCTTTGTAATCGCTCGGCAGCTCTAATTATCGTTCGGCGGGAGTTCTTATTATCGTTCGGTAGGAGTTCTTATTATCGTTCGGCAGGGGTTCTTTTTATTGTTCGGCAGGGTTTCTTATTATTGTTCGGCAGTTCTTAGTATTGTTCGGCAGCTCTTTGTATCGCTCGAAAGGTTCTTTATGTTGCTCGGAACACTTCACTAGTTGTTCGGAAAAATATACGGTCGCTCGCTATTGCTCGGAACGTACTGCGCGCTGTTACCCAATACGTGGACACGACAAGTTGCGACCTTCTAGAAGTTTCTAGAACCTTCCTATTAATAGCAACCTTCCTATTAATAGCAACTTTCCATTTATAGAAACTTTCTACTAATAGCCTTTACTTCGGCACTAAGTTTCGCCACTTTTCTCTATATAAGCAAGGCTCCACCCCTCACCTAAGGTACACAACACCTCTCTCACTCCTCTCCTACATAAACACCTTATATTCTTTGCTTTATGTTTCGTTTCACCTTCCTCGGGTACTAACTAGCTCGTCGGAGGCTCTACCCGGAGGAACCCCCCTCCGGTTTGCAGGTACCAAGCTCGGTGGCACATCCACTACTCGGCGGCAACCTTCCTCGGCTCGGCATCTCACCCCTCGGCAAAACGCCTCTCATGGCTCGGTACCAGGCTTGGCAACCATCCCGGGCTCAACTTATCACTCCTCGGTGCAACCTCCATTGCTCGGCAAACACCTCCTCACGCTCGGTAGGAACCTCTCCAGACTCGGCGAGCCCCCACACCGCTCAACAAGGATTTAAGTGGAATTCACCCCGCCACAATTGGCGACTCTGCTGGGGAAGAAAAACGTGGCATATATTGGTGGGGCTCGTCCTGATCTGACTTTGAGCGTCTCCATCTCTGGACGTACGACGGCGGATCTCTCTACAATTTCTGCTTTTGGGTCCTTATCTAGGACCCTCTGTTCTTCTCTTTCGTGAAATAGGTTTTTTGTCATTTTTATTGTTAAATAGCAAGTTAAAGCGCTAGACTCTTTAATTGCGACTTATATTCTACAACTACGTGACATTCTGCCCAAATTGTTCGGATAAATGCTCAACTTATTTTTTAATTCCCTAAAGTTTACCTTGGCACTCTAAAACCGTTCGGGCGGTTCGGGCGAAATCCTCGTAGCCCTTGGCACTCTAAAACCGTTCGGGCGGTTCGGGCGAAATCCTCGTAGCCCTTGGCACTTTAAAACCGTTCGGACGGTTCGGGCGTATACTTCGTAGCCCTCGACATTCTACTCGTATGGGCGTATACTTCGTAGCCCTCGGCATTCTACTCGTATGGATGTATACTTCGTAGCCCTTGGCAATCTATTCGTTCGGGCGAAATCCTCGTAGCCCTTGGCAATCTATTCGTTCGGGCGAAATCCTCGTAGCCCTCGGCAATTTAATCGTTCGGACATCTCAAAAACTTTCAGACTTGAAGAATGACAAGCTCTTTCCATGCAACTCCACCGTTCGGTGAGGCATCCACCCTCGGCAGCGAACTCTTCCATCCACCGAGTATTGGGGCTCATTCCTAAATTTACATCCAGATGGTCCCACTTTCCACCATCGACTCTTCCAGTCCGAAGTTAAAGATGGCCCAAAACCGCCGAGCAAATGAAGGTTCAGCGCTCCAACCTCAGCCCGTCCCTTCTGAAGAGTCATACAGTAGCGCCAAGGCCTACGAAGAATCCTTACGTTCGGACTAAGCCCTCCCTACGGGTTGTAGGCCTCCAACGTTCGGGCGACGAAGAAGATGAAGACAGCTTGGATATGTTACCATCTCTCGGATACTCTTTCGGTTATTATCTTGATTGTTCGGCACATCACCCGGTTTCAAGAGCGTTTGGAATTTCGTATTTATATTGCATTCAAATTTCATTACCTTTGGACAAATTGGCCGTGGGGCTCTCTCTTACTCCGGCCGAATCTGGCCGTGGAGCTCTCTCTCATTCCGGTCGAATCTGGCCGAGGACAGGACTTCTATTATCATTCTATTATTCTGGGGCTCGGCTACATCACCTCGGCTTGGGTTATTATGCTAAAATCTATGCGAAGCACAATTATGGTCTATTTTGTATCTTGCAAGGAATTCACTTCGGTCATTCGGCCACACTTGGGTTCAACTCCTCCTTTATCTAAGCGATAAAGAAGGAGTTGAGGGGCTATTGTAAGGGGCCAAATTTTCCTCAGTTCATAAGGTCTTAAAGGGCCGAAACGATTTCAAACAAATATTAAATCCTACAAGTAGTGCCGAACATTTGTCTTAAGTACGCTCGGCAACTCTTTGTAATCGCTCGGCAGCTCTAATTATCGTTCGGCGGGAGTTCTTATTATCGTTCGGTAGGAGTTCTTATTATCGTTCGGCAGGGGTTCTTTTTATTGTTCGGCAGGGTTTCTTATTATTGTTCGGCAGTTCTTAGTATTGTTCGGTAGCTCTTTGTATCGCTCGAAAGGTTCTTTATGTTGCTCGGAACACTTCACTAGTTGTTCGGAAAAATATACGGTCGCTCGCTATTGCTCGGAACGTACTGCTGTTACCCAATACGTGGACATGACAAGTTGCGACCTTCTAGAAGTTTCTAGAACCTTCCTATTAATAGCAACTTTCCATTTATAGAAACTTTCTACTAATAGCCTTTACTTCGGCACTAAGTTTCGCCACTTTTCTCTATATAAGCAAGGCTCCACCCCTCACCTAAGGTACACAACACCTCTCTCACTCCTCTCCTACATAAACACCTTATATTCTTTGCTTTATGTTTCGTTTCACCTTCCTCGGGTACTAACTAGCTCGTCGGAGGCTCTACCCGGAGGAACCCCCCTCCGGTTTGCAGGTACCAAGCTCGGTGGCACATCCACTACTCGGCGGCAACCTTCCTCGGCTCGGCATCTCACCCCTCGGCAAAACGCCTCTCATGGCTCGGTACCAGGCTCGGCAACCATCCCGGGCTCAACTTATCACTCCTCGGTGCAACCTCCATTGCTTGGCAAACACCTCCTCACGCTCGGCAGGAACCTCTCCAGACTCGGCGAGCCCCCACACCGCTCAACAAGGATTTAAGTGGAATTCACCCCCCCACAGATTCCCACCCGAGTTGATTGATAGCAAAATCCATCACCCGATTGATATTATCCTTCGATGCTTTCATACACTTCGGATGCTGCTTAAAAGCTACAAGAATCTCATCCTTAGTCCAACCCCATTTCCTATAAACCTAAACCTTTGTCTCCCACGTAGATTTATTCAGTCCCCTCAACACGTGAATTGCTCTCAAAAAACTCTCTTTCGAAGGATCAAGCCCCATTTGGTCATTGCTGCGCATCATGAATGGTCTAGGTTGCTTCATCAACGAACTCATTATACGCACATTCGGCACACCGGCTTCACGCAAAATTTTGATATTGGGTTTGACATGAGTTAGATCGTCTAGTGAGCACTAAAGTGGGCCTCACAAGCTATCTGTGTGCGTTGTCATTTGTTTGGTGGTCACGCTTACTTTTTTCCATCCAAGATTTGGACTCCCGTCATCTAATAGACCAAATGGATTGTAATTGAAAAGTTGAGAGATGAAATAAATCGTTTTCATAGTTTAAGGATGAAGTAACAAAAATGTGAATAGTTTAGGGGATAAAAACGAAATTAACTATTACGTTTTTATTTTTCTATGAGTTACTTTTTCTTTTTTTATGGTTAGGGGTATCCGGGTCAGCTTACACGCACTTCAACTTATCACCTTCCCAATCCGGTCAAATGCAAGACATTCACGTCGGAACTAAGAAATTCACAAAAAATTACTTTTTTGAGGCCTGACTCCTAGCGTAAATAACTTAATGGTAGAGCATAGCCTTGCCAAGGCTGAGGTTGAGGGTTCAAGTCCCTCCTGCTCCTGGCTTCTTCATTATTCTTTTTCCTGCCTTGCTGGTTTTTGTTTTTTGAGTCGGGCATCCCTTTTACTCCATCTCGCCTTAGAAAGACAATGGCGGGATGGGAGCTCTTGTTTGTTCTGGAAACACATCTTCCTATTCCATCTTTTTTCGAATCTCCTTTAACGGAACAAATAGAGACTCGAGAAGGAGAATCGAAGCAAATTCACCAACCAACCGGACTACCCTTCCAATGCTACAGGAGAAGCTCCAGCAAACAAATACATCTAGGAGGATACACCAGCTCCAGCAAACAAACAAGCTATCACGCGTTAAACGATGGATCCATTACTTTATCGAGCTTTGAAACCCTGCCCTTGCCCCTCTAAAGAAGAATACTACTCCGTAATATTTTCCGATAATATTAAGAGAGATTATAAACTACTACTAAGATGGGCAGTATTAGATCTAGAAATTTTTTACAGAGGGGTCACTCCTTTAGGACCGGCCTTATTTGTTTGAAAGTCGTAGGCGAACTCAAATTAATTTTTATTATTTAATTAAAAAATGTGTATATATATACATCAAATATTTTTCTTGTTAGTGTTATATAGTTAATTTTGAGCTTGTAGAAAAAATAAAAAATGTTAACGAAAATAAGTATTTTTTTAAAAAAAAATTACGTGAAACTTATAGTTATACTAATTGATTTGTGTGACAAATGACATAATTGTAAATGACTTTGTGGTACCAATGTTACGTGAGTGTGGGTTCGAGTCTCAGCCCACTCAAAAATTCAAGGAGAGGTGTTTTTTTTTAACCATTGAAACACAAAAAACGAAAAATATTGGAGCCAGGATTTGAATTCCTATCGCACATGAGAAGGCGAAACGTCTTACCACTGGAACCATGATCTGATTCAGTGATTTTCAGGATATTTTATTACCTGGACTTGGGAGCCCTTCTTTGGGGCCCAATTTTTAGGGGGTCACGTAACTCTTCTGTGTCTACATTGAATCTGCCCTTGAAGATGAGAAATCAGACTTTTATATACTACGGGAGGTTTTATTTTTCTCTTGATTGGAGTTTTGGGTGTCGGTTTATATATTGCGTCATCCTTCCCACACTCTGCATCCAAATAAATCCAAACAAGAGGTTCTAACAATGTATCAAATCCTTCCAGTGTCCTTTTTTGTTTTCTCGATTCATGGCAAAACAGTCTAAAAGCCACTATTTCTTTTCCCATTCTTTTTTGACCTCTTGCTTAAATTCATTTGGTTTAAGAGTTATGATCTTTCATGGAACCTACTAGAACGCATACCATCCTTTAAAAAACCATTTCAGATTAATTAATTACGTGGACCAAACCTAAATAAAATTTTCGTGGGTAACGGAAATCTAATTCATAGGAAATGAGGTGTAAAAGTTTGTATGAGGTGGGTCACATCTATGGTAATTAAGTTTTGTAATGTATCAAAATTGTTTAAATGCCATACCATATATATATGGGCTTTAAAGAGCCAGAGAATTCATTTAATTATTTTCCATAAAAGGCAGAGCAACACATTACCAAAAAAATAAATAACATAAAAGGCAAAGTAACTCGATTCTAACAATTGAAGCATACAGGAGAAAGCCATCTGGATATAAGATGTAAACAAGTGATATTTTTGTATTGTCATAAAATGTGTGTGCTAGTTAGGGCGTCCAAGAGTGAATTGAATAATCAAATAGTTGGCGGCGGATGCATAAATTTTACCTAAAAAGAGGATGCATAATTAGATTTACTAAATTTGGAACGACCAAAATATCATAGTCTGTAATAGTGTGTGTGTGTGTTTTTTTTTTACATTCTCAAAACTTTGGAGGAGCCATATGCCCTTTCCGCTCCCATGCATTATCAATTGAGAAAAACTTTTTCACGGCCGTGAATATACTTTACGGCGCTCAATCGCGCGCGTCCAAAAATATTTTGGACGGTCTGGATTTTAAAAAAACTATTCGCTGGAAGAGTTTTTTTTTTTTTTTAAAACCCAGACCACTGATTGCCAAAATGAACGGCTGAGATTGCCCGGAGCCGTGAATTAGTTTCTCTTTTCAATTCGTTTCTCGCGATTATATCACTACAGTAGTTGGAAGTTAGGCATATATTGTGGACCTTTGCCAATGCCAAGAGTATGTGGAGGTTCTTCAGAACAAACTCATATGTTTTTTTTTTTTTTATAATCGAATGTCCGGGTTAACTTGCCCGCACTTTGACTAAAGAACAGACTCGTGTTGATCATTAATTAGTAGCCTTATCCCCGGGAGGAATCTAAAATACAGAACGATTTCATGCATCCACAAATAGTTTGACTAAAACACAAAAGTACTACGTAGTATATACTTAGGTTAGGTATCACACTATCTCCAATTTGTTTCTTTCTTTCCTTTGTGGCTTTTATCTCTTTAATTAAGAGCACGTACGTGGAGACCATCAAAAGAGGGCCTCATGCATGTCATCCACCATCCCGTTATCCCAACGGGAATCTAAGATAGGGAAAACGATTTTGTCCCTTTTGACTGATGAGATAGAGAGATAAGCAGGCCATTTATCTGCATTCACATTTTCAACCAGCTGGCCAGGGAATTAAACCCACTTGTCTTAACTAAAGGTCGTGGTTAATGATGTTTTTGAACTAATTTTGACCATTATTATCAACAAATCTCTACTTTGATTTCACTAAAACGAGTTTGGGATGGATATTGGTGGTTTTAGAGAAACTGTGGACCCTGAAATAGAGCCATGCGTGGGCCCAGGAACCTGGTTTTTTGAAATATGGCGTTTGTGGGGACAATAAATGTAGGGATTAGGCTTACTTCATCGGACCCTTGTGGGCCTTGTCTCAACCAATTAAATGTGCCCTTATACATAGTACTGTGAAACTAAATTTACTAATTAACTCCACTACAGTTTTTATTTTTATTTTTTATAATGCAAGGTGTTTCAAGTCAGTTTGCGCGCACTTCGGACTAACTCTACTAATATGGGCAGCCAATTTTAAAATATAAATAAGAAATAAGAAATTAGTGTAGCCAATTTTGGGTCAAGGGGAAATGCAATCTTGGATGGGATTAGGAAACATAAAATTGGAGTAACATGTATTTGGTTTGCTTAGTTTCTTTGTCATTCAACTCTTTGTTGGGTGTTTTTTCTTTTTCGTTCTCGATGTACCCTTTTATCGAGTTCCATTAATAAATCTATCTTTTGTCGATAAACAAAAAGAAACAAGGAATTAGAAGCATCTTTAATTAATGAAAATAATACAAAATTATTGTAGGTGTATTTTGACCCTTCAATTAGGAAGCTTTTTAATTTGTGTCCATTTTATTTGATTGTGTGAGTATGGTAATTACTAGCAAGTTTATCCATGCCTAATAAATATTTCAATTAGAGAAGTCAAACAAGAACGAATCGATGCCACGACATGCGCGTCGTATCACAAAGTGTCGTTTCGAGTTTTGCCATTCCGCCGACAATCCGTACATGTCGTATTGTCACGTAACGACAACCGTGTCAATAAGCGAGTGCCGCGGAATTTTGTTGTACGAGGTTCTGACTTCTGCCATTATACCGACAATCCGTACGTGTCGTATAACGACAACCTCGTCAATAGCATTAAGTGCATCAAATATATCAAACTACAAAATCGGTCTACCTAACTGTATTTTTGTCGATCTTAATTCGAATTAAAATCTATGAACACATTTCAAAAAAAGGATTAAAATAGAGATTAACTTGTACAAAAGTGAGAAAACCCTAACACCAACTTGCTGATTTCTCTACTCCAAAAGTTCATAGTCATTGGCAACAGAACCCTAATAACTCATTCCAGCTTAACCTCAATAGTCCCTTCATATATTGAAAAGCTACCAAGGCCAATTATTATTATTATTTTTTTTTGAAAAACTCAAAATGCAGAAAAGGAGAGAAACGTAGAAAATAGGCATTAAATTAAAAGATACGACAGATAATGTGATTTTCCAATTAAAGAATCCAATGTATGAACATTCTATCTATACGGTTTGGTGCTTTAATGTCATACCTAGGACTACCCTTTTTTCTAAGTTAATGACACAACTGTGAACCAAAAAAGTTGTAGTTTTTCGAAATTAAAAACACTCACAAGAGGTGAAAAATCTCTCAAAATCTATAAACACCTCTCTCTCTCTCTCTCTCTCTCTCTCTCTCTCTCTCTCCCTCTCTCTCTCTCATGACCACTTTTCTGCTGCCCTAAAACAGCTCATGACACTTGGTGGTATTCTCTGATCTCTTTGCATTCGCCATTGAGTCATTTTGTGGAGCTTGTGACAACCTGCTCGATCATATCTCTAAAGTTGACTCAAGCTTGTTTTCACATATATATATAGCCCTAGTTGTATCTAACTAGCTGCTCCATTGTTACAAGTAAAAATGGCTGGTGAGATGGTCACACCAAACCAATCGTCCCAAACCATTGGTAAGCCCATGGGATCGATCAGCGTCTTGGTTGTGGACGACGATACCATATGCCTCGCCATTGTTTCTGCCATACTCAAATCATGGCAGTATGAAGGTACCAATAGATAACATTTTTTTGGTGTTTTTTTGTTCACTTATGTGTTAAAGATCTTTAATTTATTTTTATTTTATTTTTCTGTAAGAGATCTATTCTTTTTCTTCCTAGTGATGTTTGACAGAAGAATTAAGAAGTAGAAATGAGAATTAAATCGTCACAACGTCCTTCAAATTTACGCGGGAAAAAAAAGACCGCGTCTCATCTTAACATCGGTTAACTCTGTTATTTCACCATGTTTCCTTATAAGTTCAGTTGCATGTGGATCTATTTCTTTGTTCATCAATTGAAACAAACTGCAACCTCGTTGTTTGTCGTTGATAATTCGTGCGTAAACGCAAATTACATCCTCATAAAGATGCATTTTGATATCCAACTATTTTTCGTGGGAGCGTACACATTTGGTAATAGTTATTTGTCTTTTGGATTC